CTAGCGGGGCATACACACGGCCGAACTTGCAGCGCCTCACGGAACGACCGAGTGCTAAGCAAAGCGCCCACATGAAGATTGCACCCGCACTGCCACGACCTGCCAGGAAGGGAGTGGTAGATAGGTGCTCGACCCACCCTCGCCCGGCGCAAACAGCTCCGTATTGGACGGCAGGAACACAAGGTCAACCGCCAACTCCATCAACTGTTGCCACCAAGGTTGGGCCGTCCAGTACGGCACGACTAGGGTGAGGCACGCTCCCTCCTCACGCACTTTCTGCACCACAGCGAGCAAGAAGTCGGGGTCCAAGGGTGGGCAGCCATATGCATTAAGCCCTGCCCAAGATTGCAAGAGAGCATTGACCCCCGATGAACCCGGACAATGGTGGCGAGAAAAGAAAACCGGGAGGTGCGTGTTAATATGCGTGGCAAACAAGTCGACATGGTGCGGACCGAAGCGGTGCTCCAAAAGGCGGAAAAACCGGGGATGCAAGCGGTAATCATCACGGTCTACCCAACGCGAGGCTTCATCTGCCTCGTTGTCAGCACTAGCCACACGCTCGACTTGCAGAACAATACTATGCTTCTGCATGAATTCCCATAATAATTTTAGTTCGGCATGCAGAGCTGCCGAGCGCGAGGAAAGACGCCCTAGCACTGCTTGCGTGCACATGTTGTCCTCCCTAATTAACACAACACGCTGCTGAACGAACGGGAGAAAGGACTCTAATGCATGACGGACAGCGCGCAACTCCTTCCAATTGATGTGCTCGTAGAGCTCGGGTGCCGACCAATAACCGCGCGCCACACGACCCTGCAGGACCGCGCCCCACGAATGGCATGATGCATCCACTGAAAGCTCAACTGCAGCAGGCCCCTGGTGAATAGCCGCCGAGCAGTGGTGGGTAGGGATGTCCGCCCACCAATCTAAGTCACGTAACGACCCACGGGACAAGCGAACTCGACCGGACCAGCCAACAGGTTGCTTAATGTCGTCGTAAAAATTGCGGAGAAATAAAGGCGCTGGGGTAAGGGCCAATTTGACACTCTGCGCAAAACCACAAAACTTAGCCAGCTCACGCTTCTGGACAAGACGCCGATTTTTCTTTGCCGTGATCCGCAACCCGATCGCCAGCCGCCGCAATTTGGCGAGCTTCTGCTTAGGCACCTCAAACACACCAGCTGCCGTATTGATCGTAATGCCTAAATGGTACACTGACTGCGACGGCTCCCACTGGCACTTGGTGGGGTGGCACGACAACCCCAAGAACTCGATACTCTCACGCACCCAGCGCGCACCAAGACGCGCTTGCTCCTCAGAACTAAACACGAAGAGGAAGTCATCCAAATACGGCAGCACTCGCGCACCCGGACGAGAAGGACGCCCTGTCCGGGAAACGGGAAAAAACTGNTGGGGCGGGAGCGGGGGCGAGAGACGCTTGCGACCTTTACCCGACGCAGCCCAAGGATCCCCGCCAAAACGCCCCACATTGCGCATGAATTTTGTAAACAAATACGGCTATTTAGCCACCCCCAAGGCAGGGCGTTCATCTCGTACCGAACACCCCAAAACCAAAAGTGAAGAAACGCCGATNCGCTGGCGAATAGGGATGTGTAAAAGGCGTCTGCCAAATCCACCTTCACCATCCAAGAGCCCTCGAGGCCCATACGCCGCAGGGTGCGGAGGGTTTCGTACCGGCACTTGTAAGCTTTCTGCGCTACGTTCATCCTCTTCAAGTTGACGACCAAACGCCATGAACCACTGTCCGGTTTCGGGACACAAAAAGCGTTCACCACATGATCAACCGCACGGGAGGGGTCTACCCGCGAGA